ATATATAATAGTAACATTGTTTGTTATTAATTTTATCTTACTTCATATCTCATTTTAGAATTGAATTTAATAGTGTACTTGCTTTTCTTCTTTTTTTCTAGTTGATAATTTGTTTTGTGTTTATAAAAGTCTAGATTATAAATTTTTTAAATAAAAATGTGAAATGTATGAAAATCTTGTGTTATATTAATTAAAATGATTTATTTTTTCGAATGTAAAGAAGGAGGGTTTATAAAGGCCGATTTCTTATCTAAATTTTGTCAAAACTCAAATGAAAATTTATCTCTGGAGGTCAATTATAATATATTTAAGTGATTTTAGCTTAAAGGGCGGTGATGTTGCCGTATTTACTCCGAAATTAATATTTTGAATACTTAATGGTTTATTGAAAAACCTTTTATAAAATTATGAAAAATTATATCATAAAAATTAAATCATAAAAATACAGGTATACAAAAATGTATAAAGATAATAAGCAAACTATACGTAAGAGGGGACTTACGTGAATTAAACACCCCCCCCCCCTCTCCCTCCCACTCAATAGTAATAATACTTTGGAGCGCACACGCACACTCCTTCTCCCATACACCAGAAAGGGTTTCGAATTATTAAATACTACAGGAGTCACGTACTACGAAGTTTTTATATCTGTGATAGACACATATACAGAAATGCGCGCGCGCGCATCTATGCACGCACGTACGATGCACACACACACACACACACACACACACACACACACACACACACACACACACACACACACACACACACACACACACACACACACACCACACACACACCACACACACACATTGTGGATAGTTTATGCAAAAAGTCAAATATTGATCATTTTTTTGAAATTTATTGCCACATATTATTATTTAAATTCTAATATATATGTAAGAGCATCGGTATCAAATGCAAAGAGAATTGAAAGAATTGCCATTCCAGAATAATTCTGATCATTTTCCTATATGATTCTATCGTGATTTTTTAATAAGTTTTTCAATAAAAAAATCAGATATATTCAAAATATTAATTTCAGAGTAAATATGGCAACATCATCGTTCCGTTTGAACTAAAATCATTTAAATTGAATATAATTGTCCTTAAATAAATTTTCATGAGTTTTGACAAAATTTGAATAAAGTCGAAATCAGCCCTTACAGATTCCTCTCCTTTCCATATCAGTAACATTTAATAATTATAGCGTTCTCTAGGATTAATAATTTTTTATTTAAAAGTAAGATTTTTAAAAATTATTTTATGCGAATCTCTTTTTACACAGTTCTTGCCAATTTGATATGTATCAAGATAAGAAATTGTTTGTGTAAATAAAGGCTTTCGAATAAAACATTTACTGAGAAAATGCAATTAAAACGCGGAGTAAACGCTAATTTTACATTAGAATCTACTCTCATGGGAATGCGAGCTTAACTTCTAAAAGATTTAGCGAGGGCGTTCCTGTAACGGAGTAATATATAATTTTATCGCAACACTTTTTACTCTCATCAAAAAATATTTATATCGTGTTACTTCAGTATACTTTGCTTAATGCTCAACAATAAGTGAATATAACGAGCAAAATTACTCTTAATGAAGTTTAATATCGAACTTTAAACTTTAAACTTACTTTTCAATTTACAATATGTAGCATCATAAGTTTTGCAGCATATGCATTATGTTATCGTTGTGTAAAATTCATCCTATGATTTATTGTAAATACGGAGAGGTTGTTACTCAGTCACTAATGGGATACTTTCTTTTTCAGTCACTAATGGGATTCCGATTTCTGGTGATTTTGATTTTTTATAAATTTGAAATTATTTTAAATAATTTAATAACAGTATTTCGTATGATTTTGAATAATTTAAATGATTTCATGTTTATATAACTACGTGATTTCAACTTTGATCTTTTAAAGATTTAATGTTGAAATGATTTTAATTGAATTCTGATTTAATTTGATTTTAAATTGATTTTAATAATAAGTACTTGAATGAGTAGCACCTCGGTAAATATTTCCTATTGATTTTGTAATGAAATTCTAAATCAAAAGTCTAATCATGACATCGTTCTCAAATGTATCGTGCATGTTTAATTTTATTTGTAAACCTTTCAAAATTATTCTCGCCCTCTTTGCACATTGTAAATACATAATAAAAAAGAGCAATATCTTGAGAAAGAGAACAGGTCAGCGGCATAAGAGACTCCTTTTTCACGTGTATACGAATACGAAGTTGTTTGCATAGCTCTCCCTTCGCGTTTGCGATGTCTCACGTCGTGTTTGCACATAGTAACCCTTTCACAGTCGGCTCTTCGATTATGCAGATTGATAAATTTATGAAATAATAAATATCTAGAAATTTTCTAATTTTTGTTTCTGATACACACAAAAGAACATGCATTCAAATGAGCGATCATTTAGACAGCTACAAATAAAAAATATAAGATTAAAATTTGTTTATAATTTGTATTAAGCATTTATAAGATAAATTATATTAACAGATATGTTACAGATCAATATAATTAAATATAATAGAGTTATATGATAAAAGTAATAAATGCAGTATTTCTTGATATATTGATAAAAGCTTTTACATATTCATTATTCTGTGGCTGCTACGATGATCTTGGTTAAGGCAGAGAGATAGAAACTGTGCGCGCGAAGGAGAAAGATTTCTGATCGTAGAACCTAGGTACTTTGCGGTGGAAATCGAATGGGTAACCTTTACTTAAATCGATTCTGGCAGCGTGGAAAATCTTTTGAAAAGAATGTCTGGAGAAAAAGAGAATCTCGATAACGTTTATGCAAATTTATTCGATAAAATATTATTATATATTACTGCAGTACAATATATTTTAGCATACATATTGTGAGAGATATTAAACGAGAAGGAAATTATGTTTATAAATTCGATATAATAAAACTGTAAGGGATGAAACGAATCGTACATAACAGATACAGGTATACGACATAGGTATATATTCAACTATTATAATTCACTATTTACTTTGTCTTCGAAACCCTATATAATCTTATTTTTTTTGCCATCATCTCGCGTTTATCTAGCAGTATAACGTAATAAGCTTTATGTCTGCTTGAATAGATTTAATTTCTTTTGTTCAAAGACATACAATAATATATATTATATTTTTGTTTTTTTGAAGATTGACAGTAAGATTGTTTTCCTTATATTTGTGTGCGCACGTTTATCCACATATTTTTAAACTTAAAGTTGAAAAAAGACTAAATGATAAATGGGCGTAAATATATTATACAAATTAGTATAACAAAAGAGGGCTACGAGCCAAAAATTATATTATTTCATTAGTAATTATAATAAAAAGATATATTAAACATAAATTTAACAAATTATTCAATTATAAACAAAATAAATAATTAGTCAATAATAAAAAAAAATATAAAAATATATATATATATATATAAGAAAATATAAAATATACAGACGTTTCAACCTCGATTGGGTCATTCTCAATGTTTCAATACATAAAAGTTCGCTCGGTCTAGAAATAAAGTTATTCGGATTTGTATACATTATGATCGCTTATTAAATATATTTAATATATTTAAAGTCTCACTGTAGTTGTCGATAGAATTGAAATCTTGAAAGAATTCAGAGTATCAAATGTTCCATTGTAAACGGATTGTTTTTATTAAAATAATGAAACAATTTTATCAAGATATAGTAACTCATAGAGATACTGCATTATAGAATTAATGACAGTTTAATTGTATAACGATCACCAAGATATTATCTTCAAATTTTTAATTTAGTCAAAGTTAAATTATATAAATTACCTTCATATTAAGAGAGTCTGATATAAAAATCGCAGTCAAGTTTTTTGCAATTTATATTATAAGCAATAACGATTAGAGTTAAAGTTGTTGTTATCACGTCAGTGCTTTAGGATCGTTATGACATTCAAAGAATTATAAACGTTATGAGAATCTTACCTTAAACTATTTTTTATTTTTCATTCTGTTATCTTTTAATTATTTCACTATTCTCCCTTCCTTTTCTCCTTCTTATTTACTATTTTATTACTATTCTATCCAAAAGTTAAGGAAAGAAATTTTCTGGAAGGGAGAGGAAATGTGTTAGAGAAGGGAGATATAGAAGAAAGAGGGAAAGTAATTGAGAGGAGGAAGTGATTATGAAGGGGAAAGTGATTGTATGATCTGGAGATATGGTTCTGGCAATTTGTTTGTTAATGTCTTGCTTTTGGTTTTTTATATGTATCATTTCAGATATTAATCTTTTATTATAAGAAGCCTCTTTATCTAAAATTTTGACTTCATTCCATTTAAAATTATGGTTTAAGTTCATGCGATGGTCAGAAATAATTAATGGTGAATCCGTTTTTTTTTTTTGATATCTATAAATCATGTAATCTTGTATTTAATTTTCATTTTATTTGGCCTACATAGCTGACATCACAGTCTTCGCACGAAATTTTATATATTTGGTTAGACATTGGCTCAAGTTCATCTTTTCTTCTTTTCATACAATTTTTAAATGTGTTAGGAATAGAATATGCTAATTTACAATTGAATTTTATTGAAATTGGTAAAAAGCTTTCTGAAATAGATTTAACATAAGAAAAATTTTTCTTTATGTTTTGTGCTAATATTATGTGTGAAGTTATTATTATGAATATGATATTTTATTCTATTATTAATAATAGAGAAAATAAGAGATAGAGGATAGCCATTATTAAGGAATATTTGAATGGTGTCAATTAAATTTTTTTGGTGAAAGCGAGGATGAAATAAACAAACAATTTTATTCACCATACTAATAATTATGCCTCTCTTATGACAAAGTGGTTGATTTGAATGAAAATTTAGAAATCTGCCAGATAATGTTGATTTATGATATATCGAATATAATTCTTTTATTATCAATAATACTTGTGTCTAGAAAATTTAAATTTTTTTCTGTACCAATTTCCATAGTGAATTGTAGTCTATTATGTAAGGAATTAAATGTGCTTAATGTTTTAATGCGTCATGTCAATACTGTCAGATGGAAGTGCTAAGATGATGTCATCCACATATCTATAATAAAATAATGGTTGTATAGATAATTTATTAATAGCTGACTCTTCTAAATCTTACATTACTATATCCGCAGTTATTGGAGACATAGGTGAACCCATTGGAGTATCAAAAATCTGTTTGTAAAAGTTGTTAAAAGAGAAGAAAATGGAATTTAAGACTAGATTAATTGCAATTGTAAATTCATCTTGTGGAATGTTAGTTTTGCAAGGATTTCCTCTCTTTTTTATGCTATTTATTGCTAGATCTATAGGGACATGGTGAAGAAGGATACTATATCCAAATTTATATTATATAAAATTATTTTTAAATATTTTATGAATTATTATTTGAGAATAAATTATTACTCTTTATTTAATTTGGAATACTTTATTTTCAAAAGTTTTAAATTATTATTATTAAAATATTTTCGTTGTTAAAATGATCGAAAAATCTATGTGAAGAAAATCTGTATTGCTCATACAAAGATTGAAAATATAACAATTTTATTGTTAATCTTATATAAGATTTTACATAAGATTGAACGATATGATTGATCGACATTGATGATGTCGATCAATCATATTGTTATATAACATTATACAAAATATCTATCTTATATTTAACTATTTATAATAAAAAAAGTGATTTTAATTTTTTAATAAAAAAAAACAAAAATATTTTTGGCATTTCTTTTATTACAGCTATTTCTTGGCCATTTGAAATAAAGTCTGAAAACAAAATTTTTTATTATATCAAAAAATTACTATAATAAATATTTTTGTATATTGAGAGAGGAATTTTTGGCATTCTATATTATTAATATATTTAAAAACGTCTGTGAAGCCATAATATATTTTTCAATTCTATTAATATTATTCCCTTGAGCAAAATGTTTCGTATATGTATGTACAATCTACGACGTTAGCAAAGTCTTTGTAGGCAAGATTAGCATGTTATCGCCCGCGCCGACGTGTTAAAGCGTCCTGCAACCGCTTTCAAAATCAGCTTAATCGACAAAAAAGCCCGTACGATACCTCTCGCCTGCGCAATTAATTCCCTTCTGAACTTTACCAAGCGCCGTCAAGCTCCGGAGAATTTCCCAGATAGATGGAGACCTCCTGTTCGCTCTTGCGCAAGTCCGTCATGTGCTTGTGATCACATGCAAGTGCATGCACAAAAAAATCATGCGAAGAGGCGAGCGAAAAAACTTTAATTTATAAGATTGTTTGCTTTCTCGTAATTGCCAAAGTTGCCTCATGCGAGAAGTTTTTTCAGTTTATAAATCACTGGTTGAGAGTCTCTTGAAAAATGTGCCAGTGAGTCGTGAAAGTGTCATTTTCTTCTCGTTATGGCAATTTAGGCTCATAGCCAAGATACCTAAAGGTGGCAGCCAAACTTCGTATACTTCCGCAATTTCATACGAAAAATTGAAATAATGGATTCTTTTATTCTAATATTTTTTAAAGTTTAAAAGATAATTTTTATTTTCAACGATTTACGATTATTATGGCATGTTTACACGTACGTTTTAACTATTGACTAACTTTTATTGTAATTTTATTCAATATAATGCATTTAATTTAGCAGTGTGTAAAAAGCTTGCGCATTGCATTCATTTTTAGAGATGCTTTTAAATTAATCTTTCTGTTAAATTCTTTGTCTGCAGGAAAATTCAAGGACAACACGAACAACTCGACAAAGAATACAGGATTCACGCTGCTGGTGTTCTCCTATGTAACTCAAGGGGCTCCGGAAAGGTAAGGATACCAGACGATCATTATTCTTTCCTTTATTCGTGATTCAAAGAAGACAAATGATCTTCTCGATTATTGCTGCGCGACGAATTATCGTCCTTCGCGAAACTCAAGAACTCATTCATTGAACATTTGACATCCGCGTGTTTTCTCTGTTACTCCTTAAATCGGATCGATAGTTCCTTCAAGATAATGATGTCACACTAATCGATATTCTCGTCAAAGTACTCTCGTAAATGTTCTACTTTCATCCAATATTCATAGATAATGTAGGATATTTTGACTAATTATACTTCCATTTAATGACAGATATTATTTGAATAAACGAACTTGCTTTTTAAAGAAAAATATTTGAACTGAATATAATGAAAATGAATCATTGATACATAAACTAATTCAAATAATCCGTCAAATTGATAAATAATAACGCGTGATGTAAATGATCATGTGAAAACAATAACGCTCATTTTAAATGCTCAAAATAATTAGTTACAAATACTTTATTCTTTTAATTGAAGAATACGTTATTGCTAACAATTTATACATCTATGTATATTTTTTACATCTGTAGTATTAATTTAAGATAAACTAATTTTATTAACCAATATTAATTTTTCACTTTTTTATAAAACCTATTAAAATTAACTTCTTAAAAATACAAAATACTTTTATTATATATAGCAATATTATTTTAAATATGAACTGAAGTTGATTGAATACCCTTGTAACATCAGAAATTAAGCAAATGTTGACTTAGTTCATCTCTATGTTCATTTTGTATGTACTTTCCGAATCATGCCGATTAATTCGAAAAGATTTCTCAGATTCTTACGCTATTATAAAGAATTAACGATCACAGAAATTACTATAAAAAAAGGAGTCCTTTAGCGAATTTTTTAAAAATCTCATTGGTCTTACCTCTTTGTTGCTACGTTCAATATCCGTAACAATCACTTCGCTTCTAGGAGCTCTCAGGAAGCTTTAGTAAGCCCCGGTAAGCTGTTATTAGACTCAGTACATAATAGACTGCCTGTCTCGCCTTCGTTCCGTTTTGCATCGTCGGACTTTCAAACGACACTCATGTCGTTTTATTCCTTTCATTAAATAATCTTAACGCAAGAAATTCATAAGGGCACCCTACAAAGTCGCTGAATGTGCTCTTTTCTTATTTATTCGTGTCAATAATTAGATTTTGTAGTGCATTAACGTAATTTCTTAAAATGTATTCTTATTAACATCATAATTACGTTCTTTCTTTAGAGAATGCTTCCGAAGGCTGTAACGTTAACAATACTGTGGAAATATAATGGACGATAATGTAACGATATTTACTAGATTTTGTAGCCTTTGTATTACACATTACTATTGATATTCTTATCAAAATGTTTGAAAGTTGCAGGCTTTAACAATTATGAATACATATATACATATTTTTAATTATTAGTTAATTTTGTGTATGTATATATGTATATGTGTATATTAAGAATTTCTTTCAGAATTATTATAACTCTATTATCATTATATTATAAATGATTAGCTTTTATTAACATTTAAGATGTTTTTAATCAATGAATATTTTGTTTTTATATCAATGAATGTTTTTGGTATTGTATCTTATATCTGTTATGAAGTTGTCATATACACATATATACAAAATTTGTTTTTAACAAAAAAGATATTATAAATTTAAAAGCTTTAAAAAAGCATAATAATTATAGATAACTAAAGTTAATTATTAAAACTAATTTGTACCAGTTTGATAAATTGCTTCTCATTTTTTCTAATTTAAATCGTGTTATATTTCAAGTAGAGAGAAATATGTAGCGCTTTTTTTTACTACTGCAGTCCACAGTTTGGGTTTAAATTTAATTTTTTTCTATTAAAAAAATTTTTGAAATTTATCCTTCTTTTAATATTATTCTTTCAATGAGAAAGTATTTACGACTTTTTTTTATTTTTGAGGAGCATTGAGTAGTGTAGTAGCTAAAAATTGGAAATATTTTTTTCCAATTTTAATTTTCATATTTAATATACATATATATATATATATATATATATATATATACAATTCTGATTAAATATTGGAAATTTTGTAAAAATATTTTAAATAAACGTTTTATGATATTTAAACTTCATATATACTCATTTAAATATTTCGGAACTTATATTCAATCTGATAAATGTTATATATAAAACATTTTTAACATTACAAGATATTTGTAGTTTTAATTAAATATTTTTATACATTTATCTGATATTTAATCCAATAACTTATAACTTAAGGTAGTTTTCTACCTCGAGATATCTTTGCATGCTTTTCTTTGCATGAAAATATATATACATATAAATGTATAAGAAATGTACATTTCTTTCTTATGTCATTACTATACTCTACAATAATATTTATAATAAACATATTATATTAAAATAAAACTAAAGAAGTAATAACTAAAGAAGCAAGTATTCTCTTTAAGTATTAAATTGAAAAAGTTGCAAGCGTTTTCTTAAAATAATTTATACAATTATATTGAAAGAACACATTCAAGTTCAAATTAATCAAGTATAGAAAATTATTAAGTAAACTAAAGATATTGTTAATAAACATAAGGATAAAAGTTATCTAAACAAAGAACCTGCATAAAATTTACGGAAAGTTTATTCGTCAGTAATAGCACGCTATATAGCGGGCAATATTCCATCAAGTTTAAAAACGATATGAATGTATCGCTTAAGAAACGAATTCGCCAAGAAAATCAGTAAGATAGACGACCCTGCGTTAACAGCGACTTCAGCCGTAATATATTCAATTTCTATTCCTTCTTGCATCCTGCAGACTCTCACCCTTTCGAAGCTATGATTATCACTGCACCATAAATTTATTCACTGTCAAGCTTTTTAGCTTGTTATTATCAGTTATTTGATTCATTCCAAAAAATTGTGCGAATGTCATCAATTGAATTGAAATTTTTGCAATTTATGTATGTATAATATTTTATAAACTGATAAGTAGACTTTGTAAGAATTATGAAATTATCGTTGATGATATAAGTGAATATCAATCATTTTTTTTTTAATATTGCCGAAGATAGATTAATAAATGGTTGAATTAGTTTTTCATTGTTAAACTTTGGATTTTTTAATACGAAGTCAATGTGATACAATGTTGAATTACTCGCATTATAATAAACGATTAGATTAAGTTTCTTGTTATCGTAAAGTATCGTAATGTAGCCCAAAAGAACATTTAACTTTCGAGAACATCAGCACGGTATATAAGATAAATCTCTTTAAGATTTCATCGTCGGATCTACCGCGTAATGGATTCAATTTCTTTGGTCCTGTCTATCGCTACCATTCTCTTTGGCTTCCTTACCTTCTCTTTGTCTTCGACCTCGAGTTGAGCACCATCTTCAGTAAATGAAAGTTTGGCCAGATTATCGCGCTTTCGCGAGAACGAAATATGGTCGCGCCGAGTACCATTGCAAACTCTTGAAATGTTCGAGTGTCGTCGATTCTATCTCAACCTTAGCATCTTCGAGCTGCGAGAGAAACTAAAGCTCCCAGAAACTGCGGGCTCTGAATCGGAATATGGCGGAACGGCAAAGGACATTATAACATCGTACAGCATTGAACGATAAGGTCGTCGCAGTCCAGGTCATCGCAATTCGAAGTGGGCAATGCGGCGTTCTACGTTGAAGTAGATGCTGAAGAAGGAATAGGAATTCAATTTGGAAATAGAAAGTATTCGCTGAATAGATGGAAAGGGCAATAGGTAAGTAAACGAGATGAGGGGAAGACACGTCGAAAAGGGTTTGCGCAAGGGTTTGCGCAGGATTTGTGACAAGTGGAACGAAGCGAGTTTCGAATAAGCGAAAGAAAGGAAATCTTATGGAAAATAAAAATGATAACGGTCGATGTACGAATGGAAATGCAACGAAGTGCATTATGCGAGAAACCGCGTAAAAGCAAGGTTAGACGATGTTGAAAAAGTCGAGAAACTGATACTAAAATGGGAAGCTGAACAGAAGCGTTGATAGAGTGTCGAGACGAAGAGATGGAAGATACGGGAAAGAGAACAATTTAGGTTGCGCCAACTAAATAACGACGCTTATACCACATCGGCACGTGACAGTCCTCATGTCTTCTTCTTCTTTTTCTCGATTTCCTCCTTATAACTCCTTTACAGTCACCTTATTCCATTCACGTTCGACGAACGAGAACAGGATGCATTAGTGGTGTCCAATTACAGGGCAGTACTTTGGCTGCAAGTCAGGCGCATTATCTCGTTGTGTCTATAAAAGGAAAGTAGGGATATAGTTATCTCAAGTGCGAAAATAATTAACTAATTTGCAAGTCACGGTTGACGCCATCTAAAGTCAAACTGATAAGATTAGTAAATGATGCATTTTAAACCCTAAAATTATTGTCTAAACATATTTTTGATTGGATCTTATTCTGTGAGAATAACAAGGAGTAATCTGAGATATTGTGCATATTAGTAATTTTTTTTACACTTCTTCAACTTGTTTTTTTTTCTTAAAAAAAAATAAGGAATCCTTATAATTGATTTTTATTTTTTCTCATTATTATTTTTATTACAATAAAATCATATTATTATTATTTTTATTATAATAAACAAATTTTACAAAAAAGAAG